CTGGGCATGCCATGCTTGACTCGCTCGAGCTGGCTAGCTTGACTCCTACTCCTACTCCTACTCCTACTCCTACTCCTACTCCTACTCCTACTCCTACTCCTACTCCTACTCCTCCTACTCCTCCGCCTCGTTTTCCTCCTTCTCTCCTCCTCCGCCTCCTCCACCTCCTTTCCTCCTCATCCTCCTCCTCCGCCGCGTCCCCCTCCTTTTAGAGTCTCGTACATCCTCTTACATGTTACCTGACTGCGGAGGAGGGTCCAACGATGGTTTCCGAAAAGGGAGAGCAAATCCCGAGGCCGACTCCATCCGAGGAAATATGTTTTCACAACTGACGGCAGTTACATCCCATCGCCAGAGCTGCACCCTGAGTCAGGCCAAGCCTGGAGATCCGGTGGCAGCTTGCCCGCAGAAAGGCGGGCGATACAACTTCCCTCCAATGTGCTGAAGACCAGGGATCGCGCATCTCCTCCTCCAGCTCCCCCTCCTCCTCCTCCTCCTCCTCCTCTTCCTCCTCCTGCTCCTCCTCTTCCTCCCCCTCCTCCTCCTCCTCCTCCTCCTCCTCCTCCTCCTCCTGCTTCTCCTCCTCCTCCTCCTCCTCCTCCTCCTCCTGCTCCTCCTCTTCGTCCTCCAGCTCCTCCTCCTCCTCGGTCGGTCGGTCGGTCGGTCGGATGGCGGAGAGTCGAAGCCAATGATGGTGAGAGAGAGGGCGAGAAGACCACAGGGTGAAGAATGACAGCAGACAGCAGGGGCAGACCGCGGAGTTGGAATGCACAAGATGTCTAGCGCACACGGCGCGGCCTGCACAAAGTGCAAGCTGGGGTACTATCGCTTAAAGCCGATGGACACTTAAGATCGGAGACAGGGAGTAGCATAGAAATTGGAAAAGAATAGCCTTCCCCCACGTCATGAAACCAGTTACTGCTTAAGGCACAGCTGCCCAATATGCGCGGGCAGCACTCTGCTGCTACTGCCAAGAGGGTGGCGCGCCCTGCGGGGCCTATGGGTGGGCTCGGCGTCCCTTCACAACGGAGCCCTTCACTGGCGGCGCAACAATGCTGGCAAGAGGGCCAACATCTCTGCAACTCAAATAAACGCACATAAGTAATAAAACGCACAAGCAAGGACGGGAAGGGAGAGGAGAGGGGCCGGTACTCTCCACAGGTCGGGGCCCGTAGTCGTGCGATGTGGTATGCACTCCATACTTATGCCCTGAACCAGACATCCCGTAGAGCCACGCCTCGTAGAGAAATCGGAACGTGGTACGAAACAGAGGAATTCCAGGAAGGACCTGCTCGTGCTCGCGAGCATTGAAAAACCAAAGTCCCCATATGTGCTGGGGCGAGCGTAGAGGTCGGGGGGGGCACTTCCGCCAGAGGCCCCTACAGGAACAGGCAGGAAGCGGGCAGAAGTCCAAGTCTCACAGCGAGGACCTGCAAGAATTCCAGTGACGTATTCAAAACGCGCCAGCAGAGCCCCCAACCAGATAGTGTCGGGGTTCCAGCAGTCGCCGCGGGTAGCATGATAAGCCACAGCAATGCACAAAACATCAACACCCAAGGGAAACTCATGTAACAGAACTTCGAGGTGCCACTGGAATTCTTGCTCGCGTCTGAAATCCGAATAGAGGTGATGTGTACTTCGCTGGTCGGAAGGGCTGGGGCTTGGGAGCGAGCGCGGCAGGGTCAAGTGCAGGGGGCACGGGAACATCCTGCATAACTGGGGCATCCTGCTTGAGCGGCTTGCAAGAACCTAAAATCTTGGCGCCAACAGCAGCCCCTTCGAGCTGGACAGGGGGGGACTGAGGCACAGTTGGCAGGCCCCCCCTTTGCTCGATTCTCCGCCGCCACGGGGCGAGCTTCTTACCGAGCCTCGTCGAGTTCATGTTGATGCACGGGTCCTGGTGCATGTCCTGACCTGCTCCATGAAGCACGGCAAGTTGGCGAGTTACGGAGATGCTGTGTGATTCTGGTCACATGTCCGCACAGGCTCGAGCACAATTGACTTATCGATCCGACTGCGATGGCTGACGGGGAACCAGGAGAACTTAGAAACCGCCCCGAGTGGGCAAAAGGGGTCTGTTCAGACTCGGCCGAGCGCGTGCAAGACGGGCATGTAGACCTCGAGATGGAGGGCAACTCGGCACTAAGCGGGTCTCCCTTGGCAATGTTCTGGAGCTCTCGTTCCCGCATAGCCCGACGCACGCCGTCTTGCGGAAATCTCTTCGTGTCGAGGAGGATCTGGTCTGAAAGATCGTGAACATGGACATTGCTCGTATCTGCTAAATTCAACGCTGCCCTGTATGCCGCCACGTGCATCGCGCGCGTATGCGGGGCTTGGGCGAGCGCGGGCGCCGGCCAAGTAACAGCCGCAAAGTGCAACCCCAGGGAAGAAAGGGCCTCAGAGTACAGGCTGCAGGGCAGCGCGAGCCTTGGCGACGCGCGAGATGACCGAGCCCTTGCCACGCGAGCAGAACAAAACCTTTTTTTGTCTTGGCGGAGTTCGGGCGTGGCCCAAGAGATAGGCAGGAGACAAAAACAGTTTCATCAAAAGAAAGCGCAACTGCCGTCATGCCCATAGCGTGTCTGACAAACAGGGCCACAATCAAAGCGACAGCAAGCGCCAAGTCAGGCTGGGCATGGCCCCAGTCGCCCTGCGTCGCACCTATCGTCTCGGGTCGGTCAGAAGCATCTCTCACCGACGCTGAGAGATGAAGAATGGCAGCCCTCAGTTCGAGCAAGCAACACTGCCCTGAAAACCCCGTTGAAACTCTCGGTGGCAAAAAACGTTCCAGGACGGGCCCCTCCCCCAGGGAATGCTTGCCCCTTGGCCACGCGGGCCTGCGAAAATGTCCCTCGCTGGGATTCCTGAAAGATCGCGAGCAAGTGGGCCGAGGGAAGGTGAGCCTCAGGAGGCTTGTTGGCCGCAATCATGGTCCTGGCCCCTTTTCGCACGGCGGTGGGGGAGACAAGGGCCCCTGAGGCGCTGGCATTTTTGCACGAGGCCAGGCCATTGACATGGCACTCCACAGCCACACACGATGGCACAGGCGTTTCAATCACATTTTCCCACACAGGGAAGGCCTCGGCGCGCGCCGAGCAAAGCTGGTAAACCCACTGCCAGTCCCAACCCAAATGAAGGCCCATAGCCGAAAGCCAATCGGAGTAATCAACGAAAGGATACCAAGGGTGAACAGAGTGCCCTTTGACATGGCAGGTCGCGGCAAATCTTCGTTGGCAGAGAACGAGCCAAAGGGGGCAAGTCAATTTGGCAAGTGGGTCCTCTTTCAGTGCTGAGAGGACCTTCAGAGATCGCACTCCATTGCGCGAATCCGATTCGTTGCTAACAGGAAGCGAGTCGGGCAAATAGAGCATGGGAAGGATAGACCAGAAAATGGCAGCAAACTCTAAGTCAGTAGTGGTAGCGGCCTGGGTCGGCACAGCCCCGCAGGTGTGCATAACCTTGCCTGCGTAACTTCCTGCATACGCGTATCCCTGGGGGCATTTCATGAACATGACACAGGCCCATGCGGCGATCTCATCGTCGGCCTCTTTGAATGAGCCGCCTGAGAAGATGCGGTACTTGGTCCAACCCCCCCCTCTCGGGGGGCACAGCTCCAGTGCCAAAAAGGCTTCTTGGGGGAGTCTAGCCAAGTGGGAGGTTTCCAAACCACTAGGAGGAAAGGAAGCAAGACCCAGCATCTCGACCACCGAGGAGACCCCAGGCAGGCAAGTCCGAGCGCAGGGGGCGGGCTGTTCCAACGACACCTCAGGGTACCCAGGTCCAGGCGGGCAGTCTGGCTGCGGCGCTGGGAGAGTCTCGAAACCCCGACACTTTGAGATAGCAAGCGAGAGGTCGGCACAACACACACAATAAAGTTTTTTTTTACTATAAAAAAAAAATCAACAGGATACATAGAGTTGCAGAGCAGCTGGGCCGCGCAAAGTGCGGCTAAGCTGTCACTAGAGGTTGGAGGCTCGCAATTGACTATTCGACCGAAGGCTGTATAAGCGAATGGAAGCGGCATGCTTTAAACTGCTGCACACGCAACAGGGCCACTGAAGTCCAGACTGAGCAGCCTTTCCGTACCCGTGCTCGCTGGCAAGGGAATAGCGAGCGTCAGCTCGGCAAGGAACAGTAGTTCGAGAGGCTCAGAAGACCTCCGCCTCGAAGAGTCGGCGGAAGTGGCCACCGTGCAGCTAGAATGGTCACCCACAGCAGGCGCACAGGTAGGCCGTGGTGCGGCTCGAATCGCATGTAACCTCCTGCCCTCCCTATCCCCCCTCAATCCCCCCCTCGATCCTCTCGAAAGCGGCAGGCTCAAAATTGAGGAAGAACATGCAAGGCAGGAATGTCTGTACCCATAGCGTCGAGAAAGCTGCAATCTAACACGGGCTATAGGTCTGACACGAACTCTGTCTGGCCGGCGGCCAGGACGAGTAAACGCACTTGCTGCCACACCCCCATTTGCTCCCTGGGGGTTCACGCTGTCTAGGCCCCGAGACTGCTGCCGAGGACACGACTGGGCTCGAGATGTTGCAGCTGGCAGCACAGAGACCTGTGTTCCCACCCTCCCCCTCCTTAGTCCCCCAGGAGGTCGAGGAATTGAGGCGACGTTGCCTTGCATGGCTGTCTTCGCCTGAATTTCGAATGTCAGAGAAGACTATGGCTGGAACTGGCGCGCGCAGCTTTAAAATAGCACACGTTCTGATTGGTGATATGGTATGCTTTCAAGAAAATCACAAAATCAAGATTTCCGTATCGAGGAGGAGAGGAGACGCACGAACATAGTTGAACGATCCTGTACGACCGATAGAGATGAACGTGTCGGGGTAGGGTAGAGGCTTGAGCGCGCTTGCACGAGCCATGGCCTGCAAGCGATCCTGGCTTTGGCCAGGCACGACTACGATATATGCTCTCCCTTCGCCAACTTGCGAAGGGTACTGGGCACAGCGTCGGACTGACATGCAGGCGCTGCTACTTCTGGGCCTGTCACTGGACTCCCGTGGGCGGAGTCTATCTTGCGAACTGCCTCGACTATTTGGGAGGCTGTCATCTGCGACTGCTGCGAACCGTGCATGTCGATGGGCTGAGCTGTGACCGAATGCACGGGGGCTGTCACTGATCTGTCTTCTTTCTGCGGGTCCCCCACATGGAGCGGCTGGGTCGGCGAGATCGGCTCCAGGTGGGGGACTTGGTTGGCCTGGCTGCAAGGGTCCTCGAGCTTGACCTCCACCTTGACCTCCTCCGTTATCTGTCCCTTGGCTGCTGGTGTGTTCGGGCTGCCTGTGACTGAGGTCGGGCACGGACCACAAGCATCCTTGTCTCGCGGGCCATGCATGACGGGCGATGGCTGCGCGTTCGGTGGTGTCGGCGATGGAAGATGGAGCCCATGGGGTGGCGGCGTCGTTTCCCTTGGAACGGACGCCGGTGTCGCCGCAATCGGCGTGGGCGTAGCGGCAGGCGTCGGTGGGGAAGGCGCACCTCCTGGCGAGGCTGGGTGGGGCGGTGCGCCAGCTCCCTCCCGCCCTGTAAACCCCGCGCTCGAAGACGAGCTGGCACTGGTCGGCACATTGCTCTTGATCTCCGTGATGGCTAACCCGATCTGGGCTATGTTGGCATCCTGCTGCGGAGCCATGGCAACCATCTGCGACTGAAAGTGCTGCATCATATCCATCATCTGAGCTTGGAAGGCGTCCTTTTGAATCTGCTGGGCCTGCTGGGCTGCAGGCGGTGGCGGCGGCGGTAGCTGGGCGCCGAAGCCCTTGCCTAGGCCGTTCGTGGCAGGCGGCACGCCGTTGCCGATAACCTGCTGCGGCGGCGGCGGCACTGGCATGCCAAACGGACCAGGGCATCCTCCGTGGACGGCTGGTCCCGTCTGCTGGGCCGCGGGCGCATGGTGCGCGTGGGGCTGATGCAAGCCATGATCCGCGGCCATAGGCGGCGGCGGCGCCTCCCCATGGGCGCCACGGGCGTCAGGCGGGGCGCTGAAGGCCGCGCCCTGCGGCGGACCTGGCACTGGCCATGCACCCGCAGCCACTCCAGGGCACATCCACTCCTCCTCCTCCTCCTCCTCCTCCTCCTCCTCCTCCTCCTCCTCCTCCTCCTCCTCCTCCTCCTCCTCCTCCTCCTCCTGCTCTTCGCCCCTCCTACTCTTCCTACTCCCTCCTCCTCCTCCGCCGCCTCCTCCTCCTCCTCCTCCTCCTCCGCCTCCTCCTCTTCCTCCTCCTCTTCCTCCTCCTCCTCCTCCTTTGTCTCCTCTTCCTCCTCCTCCTCCTCCTTTTCCTCCTCCTCCTCCTCCTCCTCCTCCTCCTCCTCCTCCTCCCTCCTCCTCCTACTCCCTCTCCCTCCCTCCCTCCATCCATCCCTCCCTCCATCCATCTCTCCCTCCCCCCTTCCTTCCCTCCCTCTCTCCCTCCCTCCCTCCCTCCTCTTCCTCCTCCTCCTCCTCCTCCTCTCCTCCTCCTCCTCCTCCCTCCTCCTCTTCCTCCTCCTCCTCCTCCTCCTCCTCCTCCTCCTCCTCCTCCTCCTCCTCCTCCTCCTGCTCTCCTCCTCCTCCTCCTCCTCCTCCTCCTCCTCCTCCTCCTCATCCCTCCTCTCCCCTCATCCTCCTCCTCCTCCTCCTCTTCCTCCTGCTCCTCTCCTCCTCCTCCTCCTCCTCCCTCCTCCTCCCTCCTCCTCCTCCTTCTCCTCCTCCTGCTTCGCTCCACTCCGATCCCGCTCTTGGCGATTTCTGGCCCGCGGGCCTCGGAGCCCTTGCTGCCCAGCTGCGGTTCGGCCGAGCAGCCGGCCTGGCCAGCCGAGTTCCACCTCGGGGAGGGGTGCTCGAAGTTTGAGGCAGGACTCGAACTAAACAATGTTTTTCGTTGTTGCTTTTTCCGTGCTCCTTCGTGATGTCTTCGTTGTGCTTTTACTGCGAAGCGAAATCAAAATGAAAACGGTCTACGCAATCGCCAAAAAACACCGTTTAGCGTTTAGCTCGAGCCCTGGTTGGAGGCGGCTGGGGGGCGCCCAGCTGGATGAGCCCAGAGAAAAGTGGTCAAGAGCGGCGGGTGAAGGCAAGCCCGCTGAGAATCGGTCCCTGGACCCCTGCCGACGACCATCCGGATCAGTTTTTCACTCCAGGCCGATCCCTTGCGGTCCGAGGACCCGAAAACGGCCCCCAGACGCCGAAAACGAGTGCTGGGCCACCTCAGTCCCCCAGCCCGCTCCAAGCTGGAAGCCTCATCCTCCTCCTCCTCCTCCTCCTCCTCCTCCTCCTCCTCCTCCTCCTCCTCCTCCTCCTCCTGCTCTTCGCCCCTCCTCCTCCTCCTCCTCCTCCTCCTCCTCCTCCTCCTCCTCCTCCTCCTCCTCCATCCTGTTTCCCCAAACAGTGCTCGCACTGAGGGGTTCTTGCTACTCTTCTGAAGAAGTGGCCCTGAATGTCGGTCTGGCAGCTCCGTGCTCGCCGTCGCCGCCCCGTCGTCGCCTAGGCGCCGCCCGTCGGCTGGGCCTGAATGTCGGTCTGGGTGCTCCATGCTCGCCGTCGCCGCCCCGTCGCCGCCTCGTCGCCGCCCGTCATCTGGGCCTGATTGTCGGTCTGGCGGCTCCGTGCTCGCCATGGCCACCCTGTCGCCCAGCAGCATGCGCGCGCGATTGTACAACACGGATTGCACCACGCAGATTGCACAACATAGACTGCACCACATATACTGGACCGTATATATTGCACCACGGCGATTGCATCAAGTGGATTCAACCACATAGATTCAAAACATCGACTCACAACATAGATTGCGCCACCTAGCGTGCACCACATATGTTGCACAACATTGATTGCTCCACAAAGATTGCACAACATAGATTGCACAACATGTCTTGCTCCGTTTCGATTGCACAACGTCGATTGCATCGTATATACTGCCCACACATATTCCACCACATAGATTGCTCCACCAAAAACTGCTCCAGCAAGATTGCACAAACTGTTTTGCACTGTCGATATTGGACCACACATATATCTAAACATACACCCATCGATGTGTATACACATAGATTGCACAAGATCTGCACATCATCCATTGCACCACGTAGACTGCACCACCTAGATTGCCCCCTCTAGATTGCACAACACATGCTGCTAGAAAAAAAACTGTCTGTGGTCCACGCTGGCTAACACTCCTTATGCATAAATCCTCCCTGTCGCACCCCCAGACGTGTGGGTAGGGCGGGCCGGGCGTTTCGCCTGAGACGCCCTCGCCATTCAAGATCCTGAAGCCTGAAATTTGCAACAGCTTCAAGGATGAGGGGCGGGCCGTTTCCAAAATGTGGCTCTCGCCTTGGCGCCACGCACATTGTTCTAGTTTGCAACAGCTTCGAGGATGAAGGGCGGGCCGTGGCGCAGCACACATTCGTGTTCAAAGTTTGCAACAGCTTCGAGGATGGAGAGCGATTCCTCTCCCAAATGTGGTTTTCGCCTCAGCGCCGCGCACATTAGATGTAAAAGTTCCTAGCAGTTTCAAGCATTCGTATGGTTGTAGTGCCAGGAATGGCGTTCTGGCACGATCGGAGATTGCCAGGACGCAGCAATCACGTTGGCTCGCTGTCTTGAAGTTCCCATAATGGGGTCCTAGCACGATCTAGGATTGCCAGAACGCAGCAGTCGCGCTGATCCGCAGCATTGAAGTCCCAGAAATTGTGCTCTGGCACGATTGGGGATTCTCAGACGGTTGTCTTCTAGTGGGCCACTTCACGCAATGAAAATACCTTATTGTTGGGACCTGTGAAGAGGGAAGCAACACCGTTGATGCGTCTTGGGTTTACACTGGTCCTCCACCTCCTCCAGTTCGTTCGAAGCCACTTCTAAGCGTACGAAAAAAACGACAGAGAGACAGCAAAATAAGACCGCCAGCCCCAAGCAGGGCGGTCGTCAGGAGCATGCTGTTGGGGCTCGAAATGTACATCCCAAGGAGCTCGGTGTATAGACGCCCCAGCTTCCCAACCCGAGACGCTGGAGCGTCTATACACCGAACTGCTTCGCCGAAGTCTTCGACCCCGTGGCCGACCAAATGACGTGGTATATACATCGAGCCCCTCCGATCGTCGCTCAACACCAAGCCCTTCCGCGAGCATAGAAAATGAAAGAACTGCATCAAGATAAATTTTCGGACCGCGCCGATTTCTTAGATCGGCGGTAGACCCCCCTCCCTGGCGCGCGGAGCGCGCCAGGGGTGACGCTGGAGGCGCCGCCAGGGGGCTCCTAGCGCGGATCCAACGAAATCCGCGCGGCATTGTTTGTGTACATGCCGATATTAGTCTACAAGAGCATGCCATGGGATGGTCCCGGACTGCACGGATACTTGCAGAAAGCCCCCACAAAGACATACGCGCCCAACCACACACATGAACATTGCCCCACATTCGCGTAGCTGTTCTCATGCCACGAACGCTCGCGGGATGCACTCTCTCGAGAGCCAGGTGAATCCATGCACGCGTGATCGGAAATCAATTCACAGAAGCTTTCGGTCGTCCCCATGGTGCCCAATAGCGCGCCCAATCGCGCGCAAGTCGGACACAGTGCATCTCCTTAGCATGGCATTATTGGGAGCTGTTTGAGCGCGCTACTGGGCGCTATATTGCGCGCGGCAAAAATTATCCCGGCAAAGCAACCTAACAGCGATGTGTAGAAGCATATCTGGAAGCATTCTCGCAGTCGCATTCGCGATGACAGTCGCAGTGGCAACGGCAGTCGCAGTCACAGCCTCAGCCTCAGCCTGCCTCAGCCTCAGCCTGAGCCTCAGCCTCAGCCTCAGCCTGCCTCAGCCTCAGCCTCAGCCTGCTTCAGCCTCGGCCTCAGTCTGCCTTCAGCCTCAACCTCAGCCTCAGCCTGCCTCAGCATCAGCCTGCCTCAGCGTCTGCCTCAGCCTCAGCCTCAGCCTGCCTCAGCATCAGCCTGCCGCAGCCTCAGCCTCAGCCTCAGCCTGCCTCAGCCTCAGCCTCAGCCTGCCTCAGCCTCAGCCTCAGTCTGCCTTCAGCCTCGGCCTCAGCCTCAGCCTGCCTCAGCCTCAGTCTGCCTTCAGCCTCGGCCTCAGCCTCAGCCTGCCTCAGCCTCAGCCTGCATCAGCCTCAGCCTCAGCCTCAGCCTGCCTCAGCATCAGCCTGCCTCAGCCTCAGCCTCAGCCTGCCTCAGCCTCAGCCTCAGCCTGCTTCAGCCTCAGCCTCAGTCTGCCTTCAGCCTCGGCCTCAGCCTCAGCCTGCCTCAGCCTCAGCATCAGCCTCAGCCTCAGCCTCAGCCTGCCTCAGCCAGCCTGCCTCAGCCTCAGCCTCAGCCTGCCTCAGCCTCAGCCTCAGCCTGCTTCAGCCTCAGCCTCAGCCTCAGCCTCAGCCTTCAGCCTCAGCCTCAGCCTGCAGCATCAGCCTGCAGCCTCAGCCTCAGCCTCAGCAGCCTCAGCCTCAGCCTCAGCCTTCAGCCTCAGCCTCAGTCTGCCTTCAGCCTCGGCCTCAGCCTCAGCCTCAGCCTGCCCTCAGCCTCAGCCTCAGCCTGCCTCAGCCTCAGCCTCAGCCTGCCTCAGCCTCAGCCTCAGCCTCAGCCTCAGCCTCAGCCTCAGCCTCGGCCTCAGCCTCAGCCTGCCTCAGCCTCAGCCTGCATCAGCCTCAGCCTCAGCCTGCCTCAGCATCAGCCTGCAGCCTCAGCCTCAGCCTCCTCAGCCTCAGCCTCAGCAGCCTCAGCCTCAGCTGCTCAGCCTCGGCCTCAGCCTCAGCCTGCCTCAGCCTCAGCCTGCAGCAGCCTCAGCCTCAGCCTCAGCCTGCCTCAGCCTCAGCCTCAGCCTGCCTCTGCCTCAGCCTCAGCCTGCTTCAGCCTCAGCCTCAGTCTGCCTTCAGCCTCGGCCTCAGCCTCAGCCTGCCTCAGCCTCAGCCTGCAGCCTCAGCCTCAGCCTCAGCCTCAGCCTGCCTCAGCATCAGCCTGCCTCAGCCTCAGCCTCAGCCTCAGCCTCAGCCTCAGCCTGCCTCAGCCAGCCTGCAGCCTCAGCCTCAGCCTGCCTCAGCCTCAGCCTCAGCCTGCCTCAGCCTCAGCCTGCCTCAGCCTCAGCCTCAGCCTCAGCCTCCTCAGCCTCAGCCTGCCTCAGCCTCAGCCTCAGCCTGCCTTCAGCCTCAGCCTGCTTCAGCCTCAGCCTCAGTCTGCCTTCAGCCTCGGCCTCAGCCTCAGCCTGCCTCAGCCTCAGCCTGCATCAGCCTCAGCCTCAGCCTCAGCCTGCCTCAGCATCAGCCTGCCTCAGCCTCAGCCTCAGCCTGCCTCAGCCTCAGCCTCAGCCTGCTTCAGCCTCAGCCTCAGTCTGCCTTCAGCCTCGGCCTCAGCCTCAGCCTGCCTCAGCCTCAGCCTGCATCAGCCTCAGCCTCAGCCTCAGCCTGCCTCAGCATCAGCCTGCCTCAGCCTCAGCCTCAGCCTGCCTCAGCCTCAGCCTCAGCCTGCTTCAGCCTCAGCCTCAGTCTGCCTTCAGCCTCGGCCTCAGCCTCAGCCTGCCTCAGCCTCAGCCTGCATCAGCCTCAGCCTCAGCCTGCATCAGCATTCAAAATGTGGCCAGGAATGGCATTCTGGGAACTCGAAGAACACGAAGTACCCTACAGTTGGCTCCGGGCATTCAAAATCATGCCCAGGAATGGAGTTCTGGGAACTCGAAGGCCACGAAGTGGCCTACAGTTGGCTCCAGGCATTCAAAATCATGGCCAGGAATGGAGTTCTGGGAACTCGAAGACCACGAAGTGGCCTACAGTTGGCTCCGGGCATTCAAAATCATGCCCAGGAATGGAGTTCTGGGAACTCGAAGACCACGAAGTGGCATACAGTTGGCTCCGGGCATTCAAAATCATGCCCAGGAATAGTTCTGGGAACTCGAAGACTACGAAGTCCGTTACTGTTGGCTAAAAAAAGAATCCCCGATTTTCCCCGGCACCCGTCCGGCATCTGCCCAGACCCCCGTGGGGAGTCATGATGCTCTCTTTTGACCCTACTAGAAACCTATCAGTGTTCGCTGTTAGCTAAAAAACACCAATGTTTTGCCAAACGCAGGCACCACAAGAACATCAATGCTTTGCTTAAGCGCGCCGCCTCCCCTGAGGCGGTCTTCAAGGGCAGGCAGAACGGCTGCAACAAGGCGAACGACAAAGGATGCGACAAACGATTTGGCGCGGAACCTCAGGCATCAAATGTTGCAAGAGGTCGGAAAAGCAAGCACGCGGCAAAAATGCGGCAAGCGCCGCGGCAAGCAGGTCAGGGGCGCGCGCCACGCGCGCGTGGATCTCGCGACAATGTGACGGAGGGGCAAGCACCAACCAAAAAGGCAACCAACCCGCAAAAACGCAACAATGTACTTGATTTGGCGCCTCTAGCAGGCAGGCCCGTGCTAACGCTACTTGGCGCTATTAAGCGCTATGGGGCGCTCCTCGCTGTACACTCGATCCAAGACAAGCGGAAGCTTCCGTGGAATACTGTCTAAGCGTACGTCTTTGTCCCAAGACCGTGCACG